TATATATATATATATATATATATTTCGTTGTATTTATAAAATTACAAAATCAACTCGGCTCGACAGCTAATCGAGAGAAAGAGAGAGAGAGAGAGAGAAAGGGACACGTGACTACTGATGAATACTTCTCGCAGAGAGTGCTAATCGATGTCTCGGTGAAATTATCCAAATGTGTCATAATCTTTCTGAGCTGGGCCAGTGCACTATCTTATCGCTCTTCCAATCGTGGAGGGGAAAGGAAATGTTCCATTATCTTATATCTATATCATGGTTCCACCATGGTTCCATAGTGGATCGTGCCTTTCTATACTTTTCTCACTCGTTTCGTTGATTTCTCGTGATTTGTCGGAAATTCAATTCCTTTCCTAGGCAAATTAGAAACGCGGAGTGACCTTGCGTTCACGGACTGGCCATTGTGGAATTAGTCCCTGATTTCCGACACGGTCGTATCTAACATGCGTGTAGATATTTTATAAAGCTTCGAGGAGAATACGCGATTCTCGTCTTTATAGCGTGTAACTTATTTTCCTCTTATAATTCTGCAGCTACGCTATCTGTTTTACTTGTCACTATTATACCTCATGTTTTACCATATGTATTCTCTTATTGATCGCGTCGCAACGTTTCTCAACGTGAGATCACTCTGTCGTTTTAGAGGAAATTTGAGAAGCAAGAGAAAGAAGCTACTTGTGCCTCGAGCGCGTCATCTATTCTAGAAATTAAGTAATTAATCGAAATGGTGTCATTTCTATAAGGATATATGTGTGGTGAACGATCGTCAATGCTATTTGGAATTTGACTTTTTCTAGTCTTCGATAGCGGTTCGCTGGGCTCCAGATTTTTATAAAGCGTAAAGTATCGCCGTAAAAATACATCATCGCGCGTTTAATGGTATATATAATAAGAGAGATATGGAGAAAAAGAAAGTGAGAGAGCGAGAGAGAATGTGAGAGAGAAAGGGAGAGAGAAAGAGAGTTGGGATTCATCGATGTTATCCCAAAAAAGAAAACAATATATCTAGTAAATTATAAGACACGACTGCGGATCAATAAAGTGTCACGATTGGAGGAGACTAGCGAACACAAGGTCGTTCCATAAAGATAATCACCTCTGATCCAAACCACTATGACGAAGACGACGGATCGCATAATTGTTTTGCGCGTGAACGCGAAAGGAACGAAAAGAAACCAAAAAAGAAAGGAGAGTTACCAAGCTCGTCGATAATTATGTCCTATCCTCCCCCTCTCCTTCCCGTGCCCCGTTTTCTCTCGTATCCTTAATTCATTCGTTATTGCGTGTCTCTTAGAAAAATGTCTAGCTGAAGACTTAAAAATGAAGAATTATTATATCATCGTCATTTTCATCTTCATTATCATCATTATCATTATCGTCATCGGTTATTATTATTATTATTATCGGTGCAAGAGAGAAGTGAAAGCGTGAAAGAAGGTACCTCTTCGATGGTGACGTTTAATAAACGCTATATAATTGAGGAGCGAGTGAGTGACGCGAGTCTCGGGTAAACACGATGTGAGTGACTGGCAAACTCGTGAAATTCGTTAGAAAATCAAATTCGTATTGTTCGTGCCACGATTTCCATGAACTCCGGTCGTACTCGCAACCGTGGATCGTGATACCGCGTCAAGAGGAATTACAATGATGGATGTTGAGAGAAGGAGAGAGAGAGAGAGATAAAGAGAGGGAGGAAGAGAGAGACACTGATGGAGAGAAAGCGAGAAATGCGATGGATCAGTGGTACCTCGCGTACAGTGCAATTAACAGAAATATATTTAAAAAAAAACTATTATGCTGCCGTATTAAAAAAAGTACGCAAAACGATCAAATACGGTTGAAGGCACGAACCACTTAACGTGAATGTGTATATCAATGTATATCTGCTGGTGCCATTCGAATGCGAATCGTGGAACGAACAAGTAGAATACAAAATAAACAGATATACATATAAATATATATATATAAATATTATATAAATATATATATATATATAAAATTCATTGAATCAATCGCGAATCGAATGGTATGCGTTGCGTGTGCTAACAGTACGTATGGGATTACTGTGTGCGTGACTGTTAAACGTGTTGCTAGATTACAAGAAAAATATTTCATTCTCATTCTGTGATGACTGTCTGAATATGAGAGACGCGAAGAGAACAAAAATGTTTACATGAATCTAAGCTAACGGATTAATCAATTGATTTAGCGAATAAAGATTTAATTAACAGTCGTTGTATTAACTGCGCAAAAGAGAGAGTGAGAGAGAGAGAGAGAAAGAAAAGAGAGAGAGAGAGAGTAAGAGAGATGAATCTTTATAGACGTAAGGGAGGACGCGTGTATCTTGTTCGTACGTGTATGAGAAGACAAACACGATAAATTCGTTCTCTGCGCGCGAGAAGACACAGACCTTTAACACGTTGAAACAAGAGAAATAAAAACCGAGAACACACTGTATCCGAGTTGCGGCGGAAAGAGAAACAGTATGATTTGTATACTGTATAACTTTAGTCGTTTACCATTGCTTTCGAGAATATATAAGAGTTATGTGTATAAATTATTATGTGTAATTAAACAGAAGTCATTTAGTAAATTCTAAGTGTATATATAAATATATACATACACATATTATATATGAGTACAGAAAAGAAAAAACGGACATGTGCATACATACATGTATATATGCATACACGCACATACATACATACATACATACATAAACATACATATATATAAAGAAATCACAAGTTCAATGCTACAAGAGCCGCTGTATCATACGTTTGTGTAACGAAAATTAGTAATGATACAATTATGAGAATTATAGTGACACAATAAACACTTATCGTATGTCTTATATAAATAGCAGACGCCTTTGTGGCAGTCGGCTGCTGAGTCTTATTTTTATAGGCCGTACATTTTACCGGATATCATTTTAACGTGTCACATAAAGATACACAGTTTGTTTTCCGTATTGTTACACTTATATTCTTGCGTAAAATGCGCGAGCTCAACACCACAATTTTATACAGATGCAAAACGATTTCAGAAGTGTTCATAAATACAAGAGAGAAAGCAGTAATGAGAACATTACAATATAAAAAGTAATATTAATTCTCATAATATTCATTATATCACGACTTGAATAGGGCACCAAGCTACCAAAGAAACTGACATGCCGGTTTTAACGCTCAGCTATGTGCGTCTTTAAGAACGCGAGTTGTGCTTTGGATTCCAGCGCGGCCAATTCGGCCACGATCGGGGCCATTTGTTGGACATGATTCACGTAATTAGAACCTACGAAAAAGATACAGCGTAGAAAGTGCAAATAGTTTTACAACAATCATTTGTATCAACGTAGTGAGAAATAGTATCATATACGTACCCATTGCCGCTCTCTTTTCACCATATGTAACTTTTCCGTCGAACTCGTTCAGCGGTACTTTTATGTCCATCCCGACTTGTTGAATCGTCACATTCAGATGATCCTCGATGTCCGCCAAATACTACGGAGATACAAGTATTTATTGCCGCATAAACGTAACAGGTTCCGTATAAATTTGTATCTCAATTTGTATCAAGTCCCATTTTTGTACAGGAAACTTACGTTAGGCTCATTGTACCACGTGCAACAGCCACCTTGATCGGTCAAATTAGTATTCTGACAGTTTCTGCCGCGAGAAGAGCACCATTCACCGTGATACCAAACCTTCTCTGGCACGCTACTGACCAAAGAAATAGCTAGACCCATTCTCTCAGCTCTGCCGACTCTTCCGATGCGATGCACATAATTGGACTTCTCGTCGGGTAGAGTTATGTTTATCACTGGAAAAATCACGACACAGACGTAAAGCTCTTTTCCGAGCCACTCGGTTCAACGACTACTCACTGAATGGTAGTCCGGTGATATCTAATCCTCTGGCTGCCACGTCGGTGCAAATGAGGAACTTCACTTCCTGACGCTTGAACTTCTCCAGATTTTGCTTGCGCTCCGCGGGCTTCCTGTCGCCGTGCAAACACACGCACGAAAACTGCTGTCCGGATTGCTTGAGGTATCGCTCCAGATTGTCGCAGTCGAGTTTCGTTCTGCAGAACAACAACGCTCGGTCCATTTTGTGCTCCTTGATAGCGCGAATACAGTATTCGCCCTTCAATATCTTGACGGCTTCCGATAATGTCTCTATGAGATATAGGTAAGATCTTTCATTAGATCGTATTAAACTCTTCATTTTCGTTGCGTGATGATGTTACAATTGGCTGCATTTAACAGGGAAAGTTTTACATTTGTAAAATTCGTGAATCTGATTGATACATGTTCTTAAATTCGATTAAAAACACAATCTGATTCACAAATTCTACAATAGTTACAAATCAGCTTTCTTTGCTGAATGCAGCAATTATTTATCAGTACTAACCGGCAGTGATGTTCCCGGGTCTCACGTTGTCTCTTGCGTGTACACCGTCGGTTTCTACGTAATTTCTCAGATTATACCATGACTTATCTTTCTGCGGGTCCACCGACACCACAACGTGATGCACCGTCTCGGGCACCGCATCCTCGCCTTTCAAGTCCACCCAAGTTGGGAAATGCATCAGACGTTCCTGCAACCAGAGACGAACTTGCGAAATTTTCTGTACCTTCAATCGTAGCGACAGTATCAAAAATGTGGATGTCTCACAGCCATTTTTTTCACTTCGAACGCGTGCAACGTTGCCGAGCACACGATCATCTGCAACCTTTTGCCGTCTGACGTGATCTTCGGGATTTGTTTGTGCAGACGATCAATGAGTTCGGTATATCCTCCTTTCAACAGCCCGTCAGCTTCGTCCAGCACGAAGAATCTGAAGAAATATCGATATATTTATAAATCTTATTTTGGGCACAATAAGTCTTTATAGTTGTAGTACCTCTTTGTGAGCGATCAATATCAATTCCACGGAATAATAATATAAATCTGATTTAACTTTTTTTCAGAGCTGAGCGATAAATACCTGCAATGCGTTAACAACAGATAACCTCCTTGTATAAGATCCTCTAGTCGGCCGGGAGTGCCAACTACTATGTCCACACCAGAGTTCAAGACAGCAATTTGATCTCTTACGTTGACGCCACCGATAACGAGCAATTCTCTAATCGTCGGATCTTTCAAGTGCGTTTTAAACTGTAAAAAAGTAGGATGATCCTGTTAATATATCGCATACGATGCCGACAATGAATTCGTCCAGGTTCTCACGCACCTTCTGTATTTGATTGTAAGTTTGCTCAGCCAATTCACGAGAGGGCTCTATGATGATCGCTTGGGGCGCGTTAGTCTTCGGTTTATCGCTTCCGCTCGTTTGAGTTTGGCTACTGTTAACAGGATTATGCTTGACGGATTCTTTCGGCGCCGACGATATGGCCACGTAGTCGTTTGAAGGTGAATGTTTAAAAGGCTGTGCTCCAAAGTTGAAGGACATTTCGGCATTCTTCAGCACAACAGCTGGATAATAAATCTGCGATTTTTGCTGCTCGTTCAACGTGAACGCGATACCCAAGTCCACGCCGTTCTTGGTGAACTTTATTTCACCCTTCACCAAATCAAGGAAGCATCCGATTACATCATGCATCCCAAAAGCCTCTCCATAATTTTGAAATTGCTTCGCATTCGATTTCTTTCCAGTACCGCCGTATCCATAACCGAACTTATCTGTTCCCAGATCCAAAGAAGCCTGCTCCAAGTACAAAATACTTAATGAGTCCTTATTCTTTGTTAGATAAAGAATGATTGTAGATGAATATCAGTAGAACAAGATATTAATAATTATTGACATTCCAATCAATTTATTATATTCAAGACTCTATGATTCACATTAATCACTTATGATTAATTCTATGGTTTTTTTTTTGTGACCAACATTGCAGTTGAACTTCTTGCTTACATTTTACGATTCCAAAAAAGAATTTTATAACTAAACCTGTGTGTAACCAAAATTGATTGTAAGAAAAACCAAATTTTTCTAGAGCGTTAATGAGTAAAAAGAACCAATAATTAGGCGTTTTACTCTAGCATTGCCTATGAAAGTACTTGCCTGAGATGTAGACCAGCCTATTCTGCATAAACCCTCATCGGTCACTATGGTCTCAAAAAAGTACTTGCCACTCCCTGTCACCCCTTTGTTTGCACGACAACCATGCCATTCCTTCTGTTCTCTGCTCTGACATCTTAAGCCATCTGGTGTCACTGCCAAAGCTTGTCCTCTATCAAACAGGCTTAATGCCCAATGTGTGGCTGTAAGACAGTAAACTACTTGTATTTTCCTTTGTTCAAAGAGATTTTATAATGTTGCAATTATCAAAATTTAATACACACACTGCTGAGCTCCACTTCCTGCTCCACCTCCTTTACCAGATTCTAAATCTTTAAGAGTTTCCCAGACTGTTTGCAAAATAGGCAGGCAAAAAGCACCAGTCTTTCCACTGCCAGTTTCTGCAGCCATGAGTACATCTCCACCACCCAAAATCAGTGGAATAGCTTCGGCTTGAACATCCGTTGGCAGTCTGTAATTTATAATTTCTTAAGCTCAACTAGCTCAGTATTTGATACTTTTTACATCACATCCACAGAATATCAAGTTACATATTGTTTGCATCTTTACTCACGTCCAATCCATATCATCGACTGCCTTTCCTATTTCTGGCAAAACACCCATTTCTGAAATATGAACATACAAATGACTTTAACACAAGGTGTAATTATTGCACAAATTGACAATTTTACATTTGATTTAGACAAAAAATAACAGTAGTAAGTAGTTGACATGTTAGAAATACTTTACCTTCAAAAGCAGTCATTTTTGTCTAAACACTTTGATACAGATTAGGGTACTGTGAAAGATTTACACTAATTTATAAACGTATGTAACCGGCTTTTCTCGATTCTAAACAGAGTACTTTAAACAAATAGACTAGTTAAATTGTCACTTGCGTGCAATCGAAAATTTTTACAATTGTATTGCGATTTTTGTTCATAGATCAAAGATAGTGGTAATTCGTAGTAATGATCGTGGAAAAATCCACTTCCGAAGAACTACTCGCGATTGCACTGCTGAAAAATTAAAAAAAGCTCAGTCGATATTGTTGAGGTGTATTACTTTGAAGTAAAATCCGTCTGACCTATTATTGAGTCAATCTACGATTCTAGGACCATTAAAATATATCTATACTAGAAGGTCTGTGGCTGCGTTCTTAAGGCTCGTCTACATAGTATTCATAGGCTTGGTTTACATCGTGCACTTGATACGCGTATCAGGGGGTCGATTGTGTATCTTGGTTGCTTTCCAACAAAAGACACAAGTCGACATAAGTATCATCCTATCTTTGTTACACACTAAGGGCTATCGCACACAAATTGACATAACTGCATATGCATAGCATAAGACCGTATGTACCAATGAGCATCGAGTATTAAGTCGTCATATTGGTGTTCGATGCTTAATATTCGATGCTCATTGGTCCATACGATCTTATGCTATGCATATGCAGTTATGTCAATTTGTGTGCGATAGCCCTAAATGTGGAACAAAGATAGAATGATGTTTGTGTCGACTTGTGTCTCTTGTTGGAAAGCAACCCTTAAAACGGAGTGAAAATGACAAAAGTAAGCAAATTTACTAAAATATTTGTAACTTCATTGGTCAATGCCTAGTGAATTTGCTCACTTTTGTAATTTTCACTCCGTTTCGAGATATACAATCGACCCCCACGTACTATATTCGTATCAAATTCATACTAAATATTTAATACGCACGATGTAAACAATGACGAATCAATTTAGTATGAGCGTTCCAAGTAGGAGTATCGTACTAAACTAATACGCATATTATTTGGTGTTATCGGTAACTTTTGGTTTCTCTCAAAGTATATTATAGTAAGATGTCTTGTAAAAAGGGTTATATGTTAGACAGAAGAAAAAACGAACATTTTTAGAATTATGCATTTTGACTGTCAGACAAAGCTATCTCAAGGAAATTGCAATTCCAATTATCACCACTAGGAGGCAATCGACATGAATTAAATTCGTATTATATTTTTTCTTTAGTCCGTTCGATGTAAACACACCCGTATTAAAGCATTGATGCGCATCAAATTTAATACGCGTATTAACGTTTTAATGATGTAAACTAGGATTACGTTCCGTTTCACGCATTATGCGCGCTTTGTCTACAATATACGTGACACGAACTATAGATAAATGCGCGCATATGCGTGAAACAGAACGCGGCCCAAGCCAATGGCAGACAACAGGCAATGCCAGGAACAGGGAATAGGAATACGGATTGGTTACGAATCAATTATTTCTATTCCTTGTTCCTATTGGCTAATGCAGGATCACCCGCATCCGATATCCAATAGGAGACAGCTTTCTAATATAGAATTCAATTCTCCATTGGAAAGCTATTCTTTTATTGGATATCGGACGTCGTACGTCGAACATCGCACGCGATGTGAATCCTGCATAATGTATGGTAGGGATACCTTTAAACATATATATATATATATATATGAATATATATGTGTTAGTGCTGTATACGACGTGTGACGCAGTAAACAAAATTGGAATGTTTTGATAGTAAAAAGATAATAAAGCGATTCCTGCTACTAAAAGTTGATGAGACTCGAGAATGTTTCGGTGGAGGTGATACTTAGTAACTTGAGTAAAAGATAGCATCGCGAAAATGACTCCAAAACGAAAGGCAAGTGCACTTATAGGTTATGAGGTAATGTAGTTGATTCTGTATATCACTTTTTACTTTTCTTTTCACTAATTCTTACTACGTATTATCGTAATAACGATTAAATTTTGTATATAAATTTTAATATATTTATTTACAATTATGACTTATAATTAATTGTTATTCGTTTTAAAAGCAAATAGTTGCATGTACAATGTTTTATCTTCTAGACGACCAGTTCTGAATCTTCGTCGACAAGCAGCTCAGGTTCTTCATCAAGCAGTTCCTCAAGTTCAGGTAGCGAGTCCAGTTCATCTGACTCTGAGAACTCTAGTAGTTCTGCCAACAGCCAAAAGATATCTGACACTGATCGATCCAAGAAGAAGCCACCATTTCCAGTTACCCGTCATATCAGGTCTAAAACTGAGACGGTTTCTGTACAACCTCTGGAGAAAAATAAAGATAGACAACCACCAAAGCCTAGACCTGTGGTGTATTCTTCTGAATCTGAAGAGTCACCCAGCAAAGCAAAGTTGCCACAAAAAAGAAAGTCACCGGCTAAACCAAAAGCTACTGCTACAGTAGCACCAGTTGTTAAAACACAGAGACTGCCTGCAAAATTGACATCTGCACCAGGACAACATAAAGCAGCACCTGTTTCGAAACCAGTTAACAGCAAACCGAACAAATTTTCTGGTATGCATTATAATATAATATACAGAATATTTTATACAGTGAAGATTGGGCAATCTCCTAGGGACATACAAATTAAGTAAAAATAAATATAAGTTTATATAAATTATTTTCTTCATAGGTGAGTACTTTGGCAAGGATGCACTGTAGGAAAACAATTTATATAAACTTATGGAATTATTTTCACTTAATCTATGCACTTCTAAGTGATTGTTCATTTTCACCAATACATTCTGTATATGTTTCTATTCAAACTTTCCTTGAAATGTCACAAAATTAATAATGTTCAAGGTACCACAAGTGCCAATGGAAAAGCTACTGAAAAATCTGGAAAGACATCAGAACCGGTACAGAAAAGATTAAAGAAAAAGAGCATATTCAGTCCTGAAAATAGCAGCGAAAGTGAAAGCGAGGAAAGAGTCACTGCAAAAGTTAGTGCGGTAAAACCAACGAGCAGTTCTGTAAAATGCTCGAAAAATCCACCAGCTAAATCGAAGATAAATGATACTAAACAAAAACCTGCGGTAGTGAGCAGACCTGGTGAGTAATTATGTCATCGTAAACCATTTTTACCTAAAAATTTGAAAGATTGTTACGAACATATATTTTTTTACAGTTGCAAAACCCACGCAACAACTACAGAGGTCCGATAGCTCTGCGAGTTCAAAAAGTTCGGCATCCTCGGCTAGCTCGGATAGCAGCTCCGACTCGGAATCGTCCGAGAGTATCACCAGCACTCAACCTTCACCGAAGAAGAAGGAGACGCAAGCAAACAGTACGTTGACGAATACTGTAACGAGTGTGCCACTTAAGAGGCCTTCGGCAACGGTCGCTCCAGTAAAAGCTCAGAAATGTACGAAACGACAAGGTACGTTAAAGCGGTTCTTTCATTTTTTTTTTCAATGCGTTGACATCTAGTGTTACAAAGGAAGAAAGAAGATAGAGAATTTTGATCTAACGTTATCTGCGTGAACAGGTCCTATTAAGAGCGACGATGACGGAGATGCGTCCGCAAGCGACAAGGAAGTGGATGATCACGGTGAGACATGTACCTCGAAATCACCGACTAAGGGCAAGCGAAAATTGCAGACACGCAAAGGAAGTAAATTACTCCAATTGCAAACGAAAGCAGCCAGCGACTCCGAATCTGATACAGGTATGAAAGACGGTAAATGTATTCACATATAAGAGCATATAAAATGCTGTGAATTTCGCTGACTGACATGTAATTTATCAAGAGAGCAAGAGGAGTGCCAGCAAGTCGCCTGTTAAACGTGCCGGATCGTCCACGGGTCCCAGACAGTCCTCGGCTGCTAGCAGATCAACCCAGAGTAGCGGTGCCACCGCTAATACCAATAACAGAACGAATCAAGCTCCTTACAATCGGGCACGTGCGACAAAAGAGCGGGAATGTCCGTTAGCTATAGCTTGCGACTCACACGGCCATCTCTCTGGCAAGCTCGACTCGCACTTTACTCTGGATGCGTGTCCGTTGTATCATAACACAACGTCGCATAGTTGCGTGTAAGTCTCATTGTTTGAAATCAGTGTACTCGTAGCATAACGAGCAAATAAATGAATGATTTTGGCATTCCAGAGAGTTTCACAAAGAGAGAAAGAAACGGGAAGATGAGCGGAAGAAGGCGGTCGCGAATTTAGCTAAGAAATCACCTAAAGGTGTCCATCAGACAACTGAACAACGCAATTATCAGCTTAAAGTGCAAGAGATGAGGAAGAAATGGAAGGTTGCTGATGGTCACGCCAGCGATAGCGGCGGTGAAATGCATGGAAACGAGAAGGATAGGCAGCCTCGGCTAAATAACCTCACACCTGATTACGACTTGAAACTATTCATGGAGGCTCAGGCGATAGCGAGTGAAAAGATTGTAAGTATATTTAGTTTTGATCAAATCTTAGTCTGTTTCCTCGAAAGGAGAAAAGGGCTAACAATACAAGCTCCGTTTTGTATTATTACTTCCCTTACACTTATTTATTTTTTTGAGGAAATAATTTTAATATAAGTACATATATACATACATGTATGTACGCATACACACACATATACTTGTACAGATAAAATAATACAAACAAAAGTTATGCTTTGATATTATACACTCTTATATTTTGACCGGAAACATTTATGAGCCTTTTTGTTTCCAATATAATTTACATCGTAAACGACTGATATCTCAAATTATAATTCATTTCGGCTCAGTTATTTCAAATGCGTTGTTGTACGAACGCTTCGCCTCATGAATACTTTCTTTCATGTTTAAGGAGAAGGAACTAAAAGAGTTGGATTACGACGGCGAAGGTAGAAATGGCGGCGGCACGCGAGTCGTGGAAATGGGAAAATGGGAAATGGAAGTTTTGTACCAGAGCCCGTATCCCGAGGAATTTAGTCGTGCCCCGAAGCTGTACCTTTGCGAGTATTGCTTTAGGTACGCGAAAAGCCGTCAAGTATTAAGGAGACACAAGGAGAAATGTCTGTGGAGGCATCCACCGGGACATGAAGTATATAGGTGAGTGTATCCCACTCGATATTTGGCTCCCTTTTTATCGCGGGACAATTTTATCTTCACGGTCAAGAAATTAGGTAAAAACATGGTTTCAAACAACTGCACGGTCGATCTAAGGATCTACTTCTATCTCTAGGAGAGATTAACTACGAACAATAGAACTCTTCTCTAACATGTTCAAGTCTGTAAAGTCATTTTCGATCTTTTTCCTTTTTATCTTCCTACCCTTTTTCTTTTTTATCACGATTTGAATAACTCGAAATGTGACTATCGACAACCACGGTTCGACAATAAAGTGGCACGATTCGTGTGTTTACAGGAAGGATAAGATAGGCGTATGGGAAGTGGACGGCAAACGATACAAGCAGTATTGTCAGAATCTCTGTTTGCTAGCGAAATTCTTCTTGGATCATAAAACGTTGTACTATGACGTGGAGCCATTCCTCTTCTACGTCATGACCATCGGCGATTCCGAGGGCTGTCACACAGTCGGATACTTCAGCAAAGTGAGTACAATTTCTTGTGAATTATGCATCCCGCTCATTTTTCTCCGTTGAAATATTCGTGCATGGGCTCGATGAATTCCGCGAGTCCGATAAACAAATGGTAACCAAGTAATTTCTTAGTTAATTAGGACGAAAGTTATTTTAAGACACTCGTGAACAATTCGATCGATACAAGCCTGCACGAAATATTAGCGGGTCCAGTTGAATGCAAAAGTAGATATCGTGAGACTGGTTTAATTCCACGTGATATTACGATAAATTTTCGGTCGTCCTCGTCGTCATCGGAATTTTTAATCTCGTGTTACAACTTCGGATCTAGGCCGGCGTCTGCCAGTCTGTCACCTGATTCAGGCTTAATTCAGCTTAGCGACGCGCTGAAATCGTTGTATAAGCACGCTCCCGTCACGCACTTGGACGCTAAACGTGGCGATGATAACGTCGCGTACGAGATCCTCATGTGGAGCAAATAAAACTCGCAGAAATCAGACTGCTGCGTTTAACGTGCTCGAATACGAGCCGTGGCGAACAGCTGAGCGGTCGTCGAGTCGTCGAAAAATAAAATCAAGCGTGGCGTAAAAGAAACATCCTGGTGCGAACCATTCGCTCGCTCTCAGCCTCGAGCGCGAAGTCGAGTCTCGAACTGGTAACAGAGAGTTGTATTAAGAGGGAACATCATGGTAGAAATCCCAAAGAATCGACTGTTTATCACGTTTTCTGAAAGATTATGTAGTTTTGTAAAACTGTTTAAAGATTAGTCGAAAATTGACGAAGTTAGAGGAGAATTTGTGAAGCGTCGTTGTCGAAGCACGTAGATCACTGTAAGCGACTTTAAACACGTATCTTCCGAGACTATCTTTTTAAAGCTGGGCCAGAAAATATTTAGAAAACTACTTATCAGGATTGATAAATACTGAATAAATACATTCTACTTTACGGAAAATTGTTCGTAATCAAATTCTTTTCGTTTGTACATATATACGGATTTTTCTTTTCTTCAAAAACTCGCGCTGAGAAACATACAAAAAACTGACCGATTTTCATCGAAAATTCGCAATATTTTCTTATAAAATCCGCTATCTTGTGAAAACAGAATTTTTCGTGAAATCTTTACGTACAAACAAAATCACTTTCATGTAGCTTTTAAAAATTTTTATTTTACTTCATTGACTTCAGATTAACCGTTCAAAAACAATTATACGAACAGTGTAATTATATTTTTCGACATAGACCTTATTTTATGGAATCTAACTCTTCAACATAAAAATAGACAAACATTAACATAAAAGTCTTTAAAACATGCAATAAAAAGTGAAATGATCATTTAAAAATGTATTACTTAAAAAAATAATTTTTTAAGACACTTTTTTCTCTTTGTCTTCACCGTGATGTTGTTCTCCCTTAATGCCCGACACGTGTGTTTATAAGGTACATACATGTATGTACGGCTGGTTTCTTTTTCTTTCTAGTATTTGCGTAAACAGCGTTACGTTTGCGCAAAGGACGTCTCTTGCGCGATCCCCGTGTATATTGCCACAATCATCCGCTTCGTTAGCGAAATGGAAACGAATCTTGACGCGATTGCGCGAAATTCATTATCGCGAAATCATTATCTCGTCCCGCTCGCGCGACAGCACCAATTATCTCTGCACTTTCTCCCTCTCTCTCTCTCTCTCTCTCTCTCTCTCTCTCTCTCTTTTTCTCGACCTCATTCGGGCTCTCCGACTTTAAATTCTAATTACTTTTCCGTCACTACGGTTACACTCGGTTTCGAGTTACCGTGAGAGAGAAAAAGAAGTCTCGTCACATTAAAGTCAACTGCGAGTTACGTAGTTTACGTCTCGTGTCGCAACCGCGCTGATATATTCCGCGAACGCGGCAAACTCGCGCGTTCATCATTTCCTTGATGAGGCCGTTATTCGCGCGCGGGCCGCTTTGAAAGTTTTCGTTCGAGTTTTAATTCATGTTCGACGAACCCGTTCGGCCAACCCGAGCGAGCCTCGTCGCCATCACCGTCGTCGTCGGCGGCGGCAGCAGCGGTCTACACGATCTTCCCCCAGTCTTTCTTCTTTCACGGCTTAGCCCGCTCGTAATGGCATCCACGTAGTGTGCACGGATTACGCGAACAAGGGTGCGCCTCGTGAAGAGAGGGTGTCTCGTATCTCTGACCTTTCTCCAGCTCCGCCACTCCGCATCGGGCGTACACGCACACGCTAGCACGCGCTATATACGTATTGCCCCGGAGCAACCCGCGGGGGTGGTAGGGTGGGTCGGTGGGTGGGAACCATGCAGGCCTATTTACCGCGGAACACAGCATCGCCGGGAGTCGAAATCTTTACCGACGTTCAACGACCTCTGACCCTGGCTGGCAAGACGCGCCAATCCGCACCCTCTCAGACCCTCCCGACCTCTCCCTCGTCCTCGCGTCCTCCTCCTGTTACGCGCGAGGACGCGGCGAAAATTTCCTCCGGACTCGACTTAAACCCTCGCCCTCTCCCTAATTCCTTTGTCTTCCGTCTCTCACCGAGACGTCTCTCCTCCGCGACCGATCTGTCTCGCGAATCCTCTCCTCTGCTGTTTTCCTTCTTTTCTTTTTTACTCCATCCGAGACCAGCCTAAAAAGAACGTCCCCGCCGGAGGGACGTGCGCGAGATAAAAGAATGGATTATCCCTTCTACAAATTGTTACGGCGGCATCTTGACAAGCGTGATCGTGTTATCGAGGTTCTAGCACTTCTCATTCAATCGACACTACTGTCTTATTTCATTCGTTGTTATACACGTGATATCTACCGACCATTTTTTCTTTCTTTCTTTCTGTCATGATTTTTTCGTTTGATAACTTCATTCTTAGCTCTCGTGACTCTCGTACATTGAATCTCGAATATTTCTATTGACATGAAAGCGCGTTTGGTCAAAAACGACGATAAAACCGATAGGTGCGCCTTGAAACTTGTATCATGTAATGCAGGTGTTACATACATACATAGATACGTGAGCGTATGTATATATGTAATTGGTGAAAGGTTGTGTGTAGATGGTCATGCTCGATTTTAGCAGTGAATTTCACGAAACCAGCCAGTCTTTATCGCCGTCGCGGAGGGTGTCAAATTGCGTTATGTCTGTCGTGTAAAGGAGGGCGTGTCTCGTCGTGAAATATTCAGTTAAATTTCTGAAGTGTCACCTTCGTTCGAAATTACATCATAGCGTACACGGCTGGTCTCTGTGCCAGTGCCATGTATCATGAGTTGTTTCCACGATGGCGCGAAACGTTGCTCCAGTCTCGAAATATCGCACGCGCGAGTCTCAGCGG